ATGACCTAGGAGCTGTCTACTTTTATTTTAATCCAGTAGGGGGACTGAAGGCTCCTTGCTGTTTCTCATACATTATACAGAAAACCAAGCATCAGTAGTAATAACTTTCTTACAGCCACCTGCAGGGGCGTCCCAAACACAGGCCGGGTGTCACGCGGAGCGGAGATCAGGTGACACCCCCACAGCGACATCGCGCATGCACGGCCAGCTAATTGACGCCTACCAGCGGCCATCTTGGTGATGGACGCCGGCAGAGAGAGGGGACATTCACCCGGCGGGATGAGGTATGCCGCCAGGTCCCCTCCTCTCTCCTGACACTGTCGGGCTCTTGGTCCATGATCGAGTGCCTGACTTTTTAGAGGGGGTGACACCAAAATGACCGTCATTTTGGTGTCACCCCTCCAATGGTGTCACCGGGTGCGGGTCGCACCCCCGCTCCCCCCTTGTGATGCCACTGGCCACCTGTTAGATTTACAATTGCTTTGGAGGTTTACATACAAAAATACAGCAATATAGCAGGCAAGCAAGGAGAGAGGAAACTGCATAGTACAGCAAAGTTCATGAAGCAGACCCACCCGCTAAACATGTGAGACGCTGTATTAAAAGATGGCTACATGGATTTACACAGAGCTCAAATTAATGCAAGTTAAGGGGACTTTCTGACTATAGCACGGCTGCAGTACTTTTTAGATGACCCATTTTGCCAATTGCCTAAAATTGCGCTTTAATAAAAATAGGCACAGCCTAGAAAATATGGGCGTTCTGAAAGCAATGCATGGGTGGATGTGGGTGCAATGCTATCTCAGAGGTATATTACTAGCCAGAAATTACACTGATCTCCCCGCCATTGCCTGCAGTATGTCAGACACAATGTACAGATAAAAGAACAGCCAGCTTAACATTTTGTATTCAAATTATACTTCTAGAAATGATTTACACGTCATTATTTACAAACTACAGATTCTGAAATCAACCTGTGGCCTCTACAGATCCCGTCATGTGGGTGTAGACAGTATTACTTTAATAACTGAATGAAGTAAGTGCAAACCATCTATAGCTTCAGGTTTTACTTATGTAACTTGTAGAGTTGTTTCACATTAGCTGGCATGACGCGAGAGCTGAAATCATAAAAATCCTATTTTAGGAACAGTGCTCCATGACGCGATTACAGGAATCTCTAATTCCTGAAATAACATTCTGTCCCAACCAAGAGGGCTCTTATGTGTCCAAAAGCTATATTCAGGCACTTAAAATAAAAGATGGCACACCGAGAAAACACTGGCTCCATCACGCTTCCACTTTTACTAAATTACGTACCCTTTCTATAAAACTCCTATGAAGTTGGCAACATCAGAAAGGAGAGATGTACTAAGTGGCGACCAATCATATTTTCCTATTATTTCACTTGCTATACCAAATATGGTGGCAAAACACTGAACACAAGTATAAATAAATATTAACTGTTTTCCCCTCCTGCAAGCTGTTTTAGGTTTTATGCTCTGGGAGGTACATTTATCAGTGACAGAAAAAAAAAAGAGTACTTACATGTGGAAAAAACAGTCTGAAGTTTGCAGAGGTAGGCAAGAGGAGTTGCTGCATATTTTTGGGGACCAATTCTAATAATAGAGTATAAAGTAATACATTCACAACATATTTAAATTCTTTGATAGAAGTGAAGTTTAAAATCTGCCAGGAACACCATTACCCTTAAATCTATCTCGTCAGCCATGTAAAAAAGTTAAAAGATTTCGGAACCTGTTTTGGGGAAATTAAAATATAACCCTTCTCAACTACCCCTGTTCTCCAACACCGAGCTACTGCTCTAATTTCACTACAGACCTAAACGTTCATGATTACAAACTGGTTACTAATCTGAAGACAAAAAAGTCAGCATATATTTGTAAAATTGTTCAGCTGCTGGAAACATATGTTATGCTTTCATTAATCTGTGAAGAGTTATTATTTCATGAAGCTAAGGTACGCCCGTAGTTGTTTGATTCATCACCAGAGACATGAACAAGTTGACTTCATGAAAAGTTAGTCTTTGCAAACAAAATAGCAAAGGACATAGCTGAAATTCCTAGATTAAGAGTACAAACGAAGCAAAACGTACAAATTTGGGGAAAATAGCAGCCAAAAGCAAACCTGAGGGAAATATCAGATACTAAAATAACTACCCCAGCACAATGCATCAGTGTATACCAGTCTCAAGAGACTCTTTTCCCCTTCAGCACCACCTGAGGCTACATAGAAACCTCACCACTTCCTCTTAGTGGAGAAAGTATACATGACCCCAGCCACAACCCACAATACAATGCTGATCATTGAGTGGCCTATCATCGGGCATCGACATTGCCATTTGGGAGAAGAGGATAGATGATTATTAAGAAGTAAAGAGCAACTCTGAAAAAGTCACTATTTGCATAGCCACTTCATTAGACCTCCGGGTGGCGCTGAAAAGGCTAAAGAATTTAATTTTTTTGTGTTGTTGCCAGAATAGTTGCTTTAGGCTGGGTTCAAACCTAGGCGTATCGAATATGCGCATTTCGTGACATGCGTTTTTACCGCGATTCGCGGTAAAAAAACACGCCCGACAAACGCACGTTTCCGAGGGCTACTTGGCTATATCCCAATGGAAACGCGCCACAAAAAGAAGCTCCTGTACTTCTTTGGGCGTAGGGCATTTTGTAGCGCGTTCATACGGCCTGTAATACGCCCAGGTGTGAACCATACCCATAGGACATAATGGGATTTCGGTGTTTGAGCGTTTTGCAGAGCGTTCGAACGCGCTACAAAACGCCCAGGTGTCAACCAGGCTTAAATGTTTTCATAGTAGTAAAGCCTCTTTAAATCTCCTGTAATAGGTCATATCTGCCACTAGAGTGAGCATCATCTCATACAAAAGGATATATGAGGAGCTAAAGATTATATGAATAGCTGAGAGGTTTAAACCAGGCAATCAAAAACAGAGGACAAGAAGAGTCTTCTTTTATTGGATGCATCCAGGCACTCAGTTAGCCAGATGCTACGTACCATGCAGAGTATGCACAGTACATAAGGCATGTGTAAGTAAACTTTCGTCTAAGGCCCCATTCACACTAAGCGATTTATCGAGCGATTTTTGCAGCAATATCGCTCATATTTCCACGCGATATCGCTCTATGTAGCTTCTCCAATCCATTTCAATGGAGCTGTTCACATCTCGCCTCTCAATAATCGCTCAATATCGCTTGTAGCTCATCGCTGGTAGCTTGTCGCTCCTACATGACCCTTTTTCGAGCGATTTCGAGCGATATTGCTCCTGATTGCATACAGCCAAATAGGAAAAAGTTGTGCGACACGTCGCTCAATATCGCTCGTCGCTCAAAATCGCGCGATTTTCATGTCGCTCAGTGTGAATGGGGCCTTAGGCTGTGTCTACCTATAACTGCTGGTCCTGAAGACAGCTTTTCCATTAAATTACAAGACATAGGCATTTCTAGAAGTTTGGCTTTTCCAGTAGTCTTTGTATTAAATTTTGTACCCGTTAATCGAAAACTTATGTTTTCTCTTCCCTTTAAGAAGATAAGTTAAAAGTCATACCTTGACATTGGTCAAATAAACTAGTGTCAGGGCATCAAATAATTGGTGCACGGAAAACTGTTTTCGATACGCCAAAGAATAGTTCAGTTTGAAGGGTTTGAAAAGAAAGATGCGGTTGGTGCTCCGAATGTAAAAAAAGTCTCACAATCTGTGCCAAATGAATAATGGTTCAGAACATGAATTTGTCAGTATCTGGTGCAATTGAGGTGTTCCGTAGTGCATTAAAAGGATGGTGGGGTAAGACAGTTACACATTCTACAATGCAACAAATAAACTATATGGGCTACAACGGAATAGTTTGACAGTCCAGGCTAGAATACCCAAACCGACTGGCTGGAGTTACTGTTCAGCAAAGATTTTCCAACTGTGTCTTTTCACAAAAAGTTTTGTTGAATGTGGGGACCTGGTCTAGGTCACACACTGGTCGATTTTCAGGTTTTAAGACACACGGGATGATGTTTATGCTCATTGTGAGGTAAACATTGGAGACATCAGTGAGTTCAACTGCCACAATCCTGCAAGGCTGCCATCACTATGGCGGTGAAATCTCACGCATTAGCGATAATAAACGGCCTGTACTGGACGCATGCACAGGATCTCCCCACCATATCATGAGGTCAGTAATATGGTGGCAACATCCTGCATATGTGCAGTAGTGGCAATACACCCTGGTTACTACCACACATGCACATATTTAAGCTTTCTATTGAAGCCATATAGACATATAAATGTGCTGATACTGTGCTGTAGGGTGCTTTAGTAACTTCCCACGTCTGCCATCTCTCCTGCCCTGCTGCTGTAGTGAAGGACTAACATAAGAAATGCTGGCAGGTAGAAGTTTGGAAAGTGCCTCTCCCCTGCTATCACCACTATGCAATATGCAACTCCCCACCCCCCACTCTCACCACTCTGCCAACCCCAACACCCTGGGCCCCTCCCTTACAACTACGCCGCATGCCCACACCTGCTTTTACCACTTTAACCTGCCCCCTCTTACCACACAACCTTTACTATCGCCACTCTGCCCTGCTCTCTCCCCATCCTTCTTTCGCCACTATGCTGTACCCTTCCTCACATTTAACACAATAATTCTTCCCTCCACAAACCCACCCGCCCCTGGGCTCAGTACCCTTCTACCCACTAACCTATACACCCTTGCTCTCACCACTGTCCCCCCCCTCCCCCAACCCACTTCTACTCTCACCATTGGGTCCCACACCCTCCTCTCCTCTATGAAGCCCTCACACTCACCAACCTCCCGAATCTAGCCATTCCAACCCATCCCTAACTCTTCCCGGGCACACTTTTGATAGGCATGCTCTGTTTATCAACTAATGTACTACCTTTTTGGCACACTTTAAAACATTCCCGACTTCTCCCCAGTAGAAGCACTGCAACCGAAAATGACCATTACCTACCGTGGTTATAAATCGATACATCGGTTGTCGCCGCTCTGTGTATTTCACTGTGATGGGGCTGAGGTCATACCGGAACCAGATGGCGGGAATAATTCGACCCGTGTGACTGTATGCAACATATTCCTACACAAAATATGAAAGTACAACTTAGACTAAGCTATGTAGTTGACATCTTGTGAAGTTACCAGCAATTAGTTATTCATAAACATAGGGAAAATCATCAGTAATGTCAGGACAGTAGCACTGAAACTGAGCCAACAAGAAATTCCAAAGTGGAGCCTTTTAAATTTAAAAGGCATAGACTAGAAATATAAATGAGCATTGTCTTACCATGATAATCTGAGCATTACACTACTCTGCAGCTATGTAACTTTGCTGGAATTCTTTATTTTCTTTAAAAGTCTGCCTTTCAGGCTATTGCCTTCTGGCAACCTTCTTCTGTACAGTTTAATAATAAAACTGACATCATGTGTCTACAGCACGCATTTCCTGATGCCAGTATAAGTGCCAGCTTTCATTCTTCCAGATCTATAGACAGGCTTACCTTATTAGCTACAGTATACTGGTATGAAAACTTCTGCTTTCCACTAAGGTCTTCATACACAGTTGGTACTATCTTTAAGATGTAGTCATGAGAGGCCAGAGCTGCACAAGTGGAAAAGAAGGGTCAGTGTAAACTAGTACAAGGGCATGACATTCCTAAAAAACCAAGTAAAGGCAAGAACACTGCATTACATAAAAAGGAATCTCAAATTAAAACAGTAGCAGAGAAGCAGACAGGAATAACATTCAAGGTAAAATATTTTGTTAGTTTGTTAAAAGGAGAACTATGGGGTCAGTGTTTTTCCCCATAGTTCTCCTTAGTGTAACGAGAGGACACAAACCAGCGTCCTCCCGTTACCCTAAGCTCAGTATACCGCAAGTTACATCTCGCGGTATACTGAGACGCCGCAGCGGATCCCAACCTTGACGTCTGGATCCGCCCAGCTCCGTGAGTGACAGCTGGCTCTGCCTATCTAGAGGCAGAGCCAGCTGTACCCGCCCCCTCCCCCGTCCGTTCTGCCAGTCAGCGCTGGCAGATCGGAGCGGGGAGAGGGAAATCCAGCCCCTCCCCCTGTCACGGCGAGAGCCATGACAACATCGAGTGGTGAGCGAACCCGGTATGTGTTCGCTCACCTCCCGATCTACTGAGCCGACCTGTGACAGTCTCATTGTCACAGGTCGGCTAGAACTATGAGGTGAGTGGAAATCACTCATCTCATAGTTCTCCTTTAAAGGCCTTCTCCAAGGATATGACAAGGTGTTTGTTTGGAGCAACTGGACTCGAAAATTCAATATTTTACTTTATGAAGACTCTGTTGGGAATTGTGAAACTATCATTTGGCTTTTAAAGTCACAAAACATTAGTGCACTTTGATGTTCGGATACAAGAATCAAACAACGGTCCTTTACTGCAGGTGGTGTGAAGGTCTTTATGGTTCTACTACAGTATACTTTAATCCAATGAAAATATATTTAAAACAAAAAAAAATGCAGAGCTCCACCATGTTAATAACCCCCACATTCATTGGACAGCATTTCAAATAAAGTTAAATATATTAAAAAGTGCAGATGATCCACCAGGATAGTAATCTTTAAAGAGGAACTGAACTCTGGAAGCAGCTTCGGTCAAAAAAGACAGGCAAAGGACCAGTCAGCAATATTGCCTCTGGTCTCTTTGCATCTCATATTTCCCCATTACTGACTTACTATGCCTTCTTCTGCACCTTGTCTCTGTGTGAAGGTGGCCATCTTGGTAGAGGCCGGCTTTACTTCCACATGTCAGAGCCCCCAGCAAGGTGAACAGACAGTGGCGGCATCGTCGAATATTACTCCAAATCTCTTCAGACTAGCAGTCAAAGGCAGCAGTGCCTTAGATCCCACAATGCAAATATACATCTATGAGGACGTGAGGACGTGAGGACATCTATGAGGACGTAAGCACAGGAATGCTTGGGCACCTTTGCATACCAGGAAGTGTGCTGCATTGCTAGAGTGCTGCTAAGGCACAATAAGGACTTCTGGATGTTTCCTATAACATAGCAAATCTTCATTTGCTCAGTTCAGTTCCACTGTAATGCCCACCTCACTTGGAGTCAACTTCTCAAATGTCTTTTCTCCAGGGCCACAACTATAGAAGCACCAAACCAGAGCAAAATAACTATAGTTTAAGTCTTTAAGAGTATTTGATTTAAAAACCCACAGTACATACACCAACAAAAATATCCAAAAAACTGACATATACTTTATAAAACAGTGGTTCTCTACCCACTGCAGAGGGTGTCGCGACCCACTTTTGGGTCGCGACCCACGAGTTGAGAACCACTGTTATAAAAGATTGTTTTCAAAACTGTGGATGGTGTCTGAATGTGGGAACACATGTACAGACTCCTTGACACTAACCATGCAATGACTCGTGTTTGAGCATGTGTAGGAAGCTATGTGCCAGTTTTGGCTTTTTCAAAGATTTATCCATAGGACATTTAGGAGGCTTCAACAGCAAATTCTAATGGCAGGGGAGCAAGATATACACTATATCAGGGCTCAAAATTTCAAGTCCTGAGCTACTAGCCAGGCCTTAAGAGTTACTCGCCACCAGTCGCCCCACCTGACCCCTACCGTGCCCCGCCCTTAACTCCGCCAGGTCAGTGGTGTGACACAGAGAACAGAGATCAGTAACACTGCAGAGTGCAGAGGCCAGTGGTGTGATGCAGAGTACAGAGGCCAGCAGTGTAATGAAGAAAAAAGCAATGTATCCTCCATGTCCCAGGTGTCCTGCTTCTCCCGTGCTGTCCTTCCAGCCAGTAGCAGCTCTGCAGTCTGGTAGAAGCGGCCCGGCCGTCGGAGGCTGCGGTGCCGCTCCAAGAAGCGGGTGGAGGAAACAGACAGCGATCGGTGCTGCCGAAGCGGCGGAAGTCCCCCCCCTGGATTTCCACTCGCCCCCACGCAATTTTCACTCGCCAATTGCGAGGGGGCGAGTGGAAATTTTGAGCCCTGCACTATATTATCAAAAGTATTGAGAAGGTGGTCCACAAGGTTTAGGAGTATGTCAATGGGAATGTTTGAGCATTCTTCCAGAAGCGCATTTGTGAGGTCAGGTACCGATGTTGGACCAGAAGGCCTGGCTCGCAGTCTCCGCTCTAATTCATCCCAAAGGTGTTCTATCGGGTTGAGGTCAGGATTATGTGCAGGCCAGTCAAGTTCCTCCACCCAAAATTTGCTCATCCATGTCTTTATGGACCTTGCTTTGTGCACTGGTGCGCAGTCATGTTGGAACAGGAAGGGGCCATTCCCAAATTGTTCCCACAACGTTGGGAGCATGAAATTGTCCAAAATGTCTTGATATGCTGATGCCTTAAGAGTTCCCTTCACTGGAAATAAGGGGCCAAGCACAACCCCTGAAAAACAACCCCACACCATAATCCCCCTCCAAACTTTACACTTGGCACAATGCAGTCAGGCAAGTACCGTTCTCCTGGCAACTGCCAAACCCAGACACATCCATCGGATTGCCAGACAGAGAAGCGCGAGTCGTCACTCCAGAGAACACGTCTCCACTTCTCTAGAGTCGAGTGGCGGCTTGCTTTACACCACTGCATCCGACGCTTTGCATTGCACTTGGTGATGCAAGGCTTGGGTGCAGCTTCCTGGCCCTGGAAACCCAATCCATGAAGCTCTCTACACACTGTTGTTGTGCCAATCTGAAGGCCACACGAAGTTTGGAGGTCTGTAGCTATTGACTCTGCAGACAGTTGGTGACTTCTGTGCACTGTGTGCTTCAGCATGCGCTGACCCCGCTCTGTCATTTTACGTGGCCTACCACTTCATGGCTGAGTTGCTGTTGCTCCCACTTTGCTATAATACCACTAACAGTTGACTGTGGAATGTTTAGTAGCAAGGAAATTTCACAGAACACCTGAATCCAATGATTTGGAGGGGTGTCCCAATACTTTTGGCAATATAGTGTATATACGCCATATGTTTTTATTGGGTCACTTTAGGCATCACTCCAGTACCACACAAACTGGTATAAGCAACGACTGGCATGTTTGTTTCCTTTTTGCTCTAGGTACAACAGCCTATATCACAAGTGTGCAGGCCTGACAACACTTAGAGGGGAGAACTTGCATTTTTTTGTTTTAAAAACCTAAAACCAAAGTGGTGTGAAAATGCTACAAGGTAAGCTATCGAGTGATATGGATCAAAAGCAGATTGAGCAAATAAGCTTAATTATCAGCAGAGAAGACATTTAAAAATTGTACATACGGTTGGAAGCCAGTCGGTCTGCTCCACCCAGAGCATTGAAGGCACCATGAATGTGTGTAATCTGAAATATATTAAAAATCGTAATAAATGTATAATGGGGGCGATATAAAAATAAAAGATAACAGAAACTACTAAATGGTGTGTAGCCTTAGTAATTTGTGGACAGGGTTTTGTTCGCTTCAAGCAGGTTTTGCATTCCTACACTAGTCCAATGCAAAACCTGCTTAAAGCAGGCCAAATACAGGTCAGGAGGTGGTCAATGGATGGTCAAATTGACCTGTTAATTATAATTGATCTCAGTTGCTTCCTATGCGATCAATAAAAAGCCCTTAGAAAAGACTCTGTTAAGATACAGATGCCATATCACATGGGTATTTTCAGTAAATTGCATTTAGTAGCTATTTTGCCTACTCTTTTAAGATACTCTAGAGACCTAGACCATAATTTGGCTTATCTATTCCTAGGTAAAATCACCAGGAGACATCTGCCCGTTTTGCCTTCCACACCTAGAACATCAAATCCTTCCACAATATTTGACTGACTAATGACATTGGCCTGTGCGTGGCAATGCTCCCCTTTGATCTTCCCCACTAAAAAAGGAAACATTGGGGCCTGCACAGTTTTTGTTCCCCATAAAATAGGAAAATCTCAGTTTGCAATAATAATCATCTCACTTGCAAAACTTGGACTATTTAAAAGGCCATCCTTTCACAGGATACACTGATGAATAAAGGGATTGGGGCACAGACAAACGATAAACTAATGAATGGTAAATATGCTTGAGGATCTTATGGTCACGTAAACTAGGTTATTTGTTCCTCCTCTAAGAATATTTTATATATTAAGCTCTTAAAAAGGCATTTGCATTTTATAAACAAAACAAAACAAAGAAAAAACACCCAGTTTTTGGAGGTGGATATCTAAAGAGACAGGCTTGGCTCACATGCAACATGAACAAAGTATATATGGTTCTGAGGTTTCTTATGACAGAATTAGTATCCAATGTAGAACAAATAGTGACAGACGCTGAGTTCCACTTTTAATTGGAAAACCACTTTAATATTTCCATTTGGGAATGGAACAAAAAGGCAAAGCTAAAATTAATTTCTGAAATCCCTGTTAAATACAATGTTTGGTACAGGTACAATGTGACTTGAAAAACACTACTGGTTTTGGGAGTGAAGGACAAAACTGACTAGCTACAATATAAACTGTACCAAGACCTTCCATCATACACACCATTGATGTACAGTACAAATATGGAGCTGTGATTCATAATGGAAATTAAACATATAATTTTTCATTTACAGCCTTCAGAGAAGGATCTCTCCACAGGTACCAGTCACACCTCTTTGTGCCCTTGAAATCAGGCTTGTACGGCTGGTTGGCACTGTACAATGGGATGACTATTTGCTATGTAGGACAGCATACATCATTCTGGGTTGGTGCCCAGCCAGAATTAGCACAATGACCATGTGCTACTTGGGAGTGTTCCTGGGTGGGTAAGCCTGTTATACAATACACAGAACAATGCATAATCACTTTGTGAGGCCATGTAATGAGCTCACCCAGGACCACAATCACTTAGACTATGCATTCCTATTATGTATGAAAAATAAAAGTGGATCAAGCTTTCTTGCACCAAATATGCATTTTAAATTAGAACATCTTACCACATCCCTAGAATGTTGCAGCCAACAGTGTACTCATGACGTAATAGTTCCAGGTTCTGGAACTTTATCATGTGAATAAACATCAGCTTACAAATTCTATTCTTAGCAACATATCAGCAGCAATATTAAAACCACATATTTTAACAACTAAATTGTACATTATAATTTGCAAATAGTCACTAGTTTCAAACTGTATTATATAATACATTATAATTCTAAAAAAAAAGTAGAACAAGAACTTTAATGAAATGAAATCCCAGATAATATTTTCAGAGTCAAACTTATGTTGACTGTTACTTAATTTCTTGCAATGGGATAGAAACTAAAGTGCATTCTGGGTATAACACCCTGAATAATTTGGTGTCTGGGCTCTCTCTCTCCAATATATCATGCTGATTAAAACCATGGCTCACAGATAGCACTATAGAGGAATCTCCCATTGCATCATGGTAGGAGGCCTCGTGTACAGTGCAGCTCTCTAATAACATAGGATAAGGAGGTGTGTGTAGAGGCATTTTTCACAACACAGAGTTGAATGCACTTGGAGAACTGCATGTTATGTTAGAATGGTCAGTCCTTCCTGGACTCTTCGATGAAATGGGTTGTATTGCATTTAAGCACAGGTCTCCTTCATCAAATATATTGATGCTGTTATTCAACCATACTTTGTGTTGGTGGTATGAACTGTATATTACATTTAACCATAATAAATGTCATGAAATGTCACAAATGGATTTAGAAGTAATCTACTGCAACTGCTAAATGTGCTCTTTCAGAAAATATAGGTTTTGTTACTCTACATTAAAGGAAAATATGAACACCATGTTTTAAACCGGAGCACGTGAACTAGAGCATGCTTTCCAAATGCAATTTCATGCAATTTCTAAATTTAGATACAGGGGTTTTTTTTTTTTTTGCAGGTACTGCTCTACATAATATAGAGCTTTCTTCAGTCATTACAATTCCATTCTACAGCAAACACTAGCTATAAATTATCAGTATGCACACAAGTCAGACATTAAGGGAGCTATTCACTAAGGGCCCAAAAGGATTTAGGCGAACGTTCAGGTAATCCTTTTGCTCGCTTCAGCGAGCATTCACAAGGGGAAGCACCTTCCCAATGTCAAGGGCATGTGGCATGGTATGTTGCAGGAGGGGGGCTGCGTGCTTGTCCCCCACCCCCTTCTGTTCTTCCAGACCGCTCAGATTAAGGGCCTGGTATGGGATCATAGGAGGGGGGGGGGACCATATTTTTTTGGAGGGTTTTGGGCATTTGGGTCCCCCTTAAAATTCCTACCAGACCTAAAGGGTCAAGTATGATTTGGAAAGGGGACCCTACACTGGTTTTTTTACATTAACAGTTTTCATTCTGCTTTACTACCTGAGGTAGTGAACAGAATGATCGAACCGAATGAAGAGCTGAACGTTCAGCAATCCATTCTCTGCTGTTTCACCCCTTGGACAATAGAGGTGAACAGCACGGAATTAACTGTCAAACGTTTGCTTCAGCCGATCCAGATGTTGCATCAGCTGAGGCGAACGGGTTCATCCCTTCTGTCCGACTGGACGAGCCGTGGCTGTCCTGCGGAGCCGAAGGGAGGTAAAGTGAGCCGAATGCAGCCGAAGTACGGCTAAAAATAGACTGCAGTGAATAGCCAAAGAGGCTTTGGTTCAGCTCGAGTGTTCATTCGGCTGCCTACGGCACCCTAGTGAATAGCCCCCTAAATATAGTTTGGTTGTGTGATTTTACTGACTTCTTCCAAGACCCTTTCATGATGCGGTGGCATCATGAAACGAAATCATGGGGAATGAGTACTCCGCAATGATAGGGATGAAAAAAGCGAATTTAAAAAAAATATGATTTTTAAAGAAGCATCTTTGCATGCTGCCCTTTCCTGAACTGTACGTTACAAAGAGTACATTTTATTATTAGCAGTTTTAAATACTAACCTGCAAACTGTCCCCAAAACTTAGCTTATGAATGAAGTGACTCATGTCAGGGTTCTGTGGCTGAGCTGTGGCACTGTGTGTGGACACATGGAAGTTACCAGGCACCTAATAACAAAGACATGATTATGATGAAACAATAAATTAAGTAACAGATATAAAGACCATCGTTAGCATGTAATTTTGTTCAGTTTCTTCATTAATTTGTAATAAATCAAACTTAAATTTATAAGGCCTATGTCTCATAGAAAAGCTAACAGAATATTTAAATGCACCTTTCAATATATCCAGGCAATACAGTGCCAACTTGCATTAACCCCTTCACGACTGAGGACGTACAGTGCATGTCGCCAGCATTGGGGACGCCGGTACTCGGTTTAAACTTGTAAAGCCGACTGTCGGCTTTACAATAGAAGCGATTCTGGCAACTCCGCTGTCGCTAGATCGCTTCTAGAGTCCCGTGAAGGGGCCGCCCCCCCCCCCCGGGCCCCATTGCCCCTCCTACGGGCCAATATTTTTGGGTATCTCTAAATTGATGACCTGTGGGGACTTTTAAAGCATCGACTATGGACTTTTTGGGGTACTGAAGTTTGTCGTCATTTCACGGACACACGCAATTTTTAACCTGGGCATGTTGGGTATCTATTTACTCGTTGTAACCTCATCTTTTATATCTTATTGTGTTTTGGGGCATTTAAGTACATTTCTCTAAATGTTGGGGTTTGATAAGGAGTTGCGCTAATATCGTGCAACATACAAATTTGCAACTGCCAACATTTTATTCTATAGGGTCTTGGCTTTCAGAAAATATATAATGTTTGGGGTTTTTTTAAGTACTTTTCAGGCCTACAATGTGGAATATAACATGGGTGCAAAAAAAAAAAAGGCCTCACTCATGAAGGGGTTAAACATACATCTAAAGCCAATTTCTTCAGTTTGAGCTAGTAAGGAATGGTAAAAACCCCTGTTTTTTTATATATCCATCTATGTCCTAATGGGGAGCTTTTAAAGACAGGTGTCACCAGAACAGTGATCCTCATTTGAAGATGTGCCCTCCTTTCCTGTTCTGGTGACTATAAAACTTTTTCTTCACTTTCTTTCCCACTGAAAATTTTCACCAGGACAAATAGAGAAAGTGAATATCCCTTGTAAGGACACAGACCGCAATAAAAAACTGACTGAGGGTTTACTATAGAACGCTTTATAAAACATTTTACCTTGAGATATTCTTTAAAATCCAAGTTCACTTACAGATGGACTCTGGTTCACCCATGTCCATCCTATATATTATGCTCCCACAAAGACCTCACATGCAGGCATATCCACTCCCTTCTGCCCAACTGCCCCCAAGGCTCTCCCACTGGAAATACTATAAGGGGAATTTACAAAAAACAGCTCTGCATAGGAACCAATCAGCTTCTATCTTCAGCTTGTTTAGTGAAGCTTGGAAAATAAAAAAGGTAGAAGCTGAGGAGAATTCACTTCTATGAATATAAACACTGCCCAAGTGGGCTGAGCACTGGGGAGTGGGTTCTTGGAGCATCTGAGCTATGTGTGGGGGCATATTAGGGAGACAGTGAAGGAACCTATACAGGGTTTTTATGGCAGGAGTAGACTTGTGCTTTAACCCCTTAGTGACACAGCTTCAGAAAATGTTTTTGTTCCTGAGGACAGGAGCAATGTTGCCATTTTTGCTATGCATTTGTTTAACCATCATTTTAATCTTACTCATTCATTGCTCCTACACATATTATATACTGTTTTTTTTTAAAAAAAAAAGGACAAAATGGGCTTTAATTTGATGCGACATACGCATATATGAATTCTTATTTTTGTTTATTAAAAAAAAATGCAAAAAAAAAATATAAATCTTTCACAGTTTTGGCAATAATAATGTGATTTATAGGTTATATCATATGTCTGGGATTTCAGTTTATTTTACGTGTTATAGGTCACAAAATACAAGGAGTGAAAATCAATTTTAGTTTCGAACAATTTTAAAATGTGGTATGTTTGTCTCCTTTCTTTAATAGCCTCCTCAGCACTATATGATGTTCTTATAATTTTTTTTATTACATTTATTTTTTTAAACTTTTAAAAACTAAATTTTTATTTTTTTTAAAATAGGTGGCACTAAAGGGGTTATTTTTTTTTAGTTACAGGGGCTTTGATACTTTGTATTCTCCTTAGATATACTAAGTATCTCTGGAGGAGAATACTGTATCAGTTTGTATCACACATGTGGCTTGCTGCTGCCGGCTTTGTGGCTGTCATGGCTCTTTGATCACAGCAATTAGCTACCACTGTGATAAAAGTGCTGTGTCCACCTAATCTGCTGTTGAGGGTCTGCCTCGGACTCAGATGGACTTAACAGCAGTAACTCAATGAGTACTGGTCCCTCCACGGACCAGTGCTCATTGTACCACACAACGAGATTATCCCATCACCGGTCGTTAATTAACTGAACGAACGTGACAGTATAATCCAGTCATCGGTCGGGAAGGGGTTAAAACAGGCCTACCAGTATTAATAACCAAAAAAGGCAGAATTGGAATTCAAATATCTAGTCTGTATATTTGGTACTATGTCTACTCAAGCTATTATAAAAAACACAAATTAACAGTTTTTACAGGGCGTTGTAAAGCTATTTTGTTACAGTTCTTGTCCCACCCATATTATGCCATGGGCTTTCACATAACCCAAATACAAATGCTATGAATATTAGGCAACTCATTTATACATAATTTGCCATCCCATATATGTCATCATCAATGTATGTGAACTTGAACTCACAAAATGATTATGTCAAAATTGGCAGAACATCTAATTACTGCAGAATGAATCTAAACTAATTGTATAATTATATGGCTTTTATACTAAAGCAGTCTGGTAAGACGAGGTTGTGGCATTAGGCCTCAGTCCTAATGTTGCATGAATACAAAATGTTGCATGACGGAACAAAAATCAAACACTTTACACATGACATATGAAAAACAACCAAGAAAGGCAGAAGCACCTTACCTTGTTTATGGTAAACTGTCCTTCAAACCGGCAACCATTGCCATTATTGAGGGGAATTTTCATGGAATTATCAATATGCCCAACTTCATGTCTGCCCATTTCATCCTGAATATCCAGGCCCACCACTGAAGATAAAAGAAAATAGTACATGTATAAAAGTCAGCTGAAACAAGACTATGACTTCTAGTAGAAAACAAGTTATATACAGAAACCTAAAGAATGACATTTAAACGATAACCAGGTCTACTAACACGTTAGCGATTTCCCTTTAGTTTGTTGTGGGGCTTTAAAAAGTAAACGGTAATACAGTGCCTTATAGAGAGATTCCACTTAAAATGTCAATGCATTGTCTAGCATGCCAGTACATACTTTTATGACCACTAAGCACACATCTTTTTGCCAGTAAAAATAACCTTGTGTCACAAAAGGGTCAGAATTATTGATATTTGTCATTGACTTAATGACCAAGGAAAGCACTACGGTGTTTAATGTACATGAGCAAAGCACTAAACACAGGGACCCCTGGTTTGATAAGGGAGGAACTTTTATTACTGCAAAAACAAAATGCTAAATAAGTGGCGTTAGCTGCCAAAGGCAAGACATTATAGTTATTTTACTAATAGAAATGGTCAGACTGGCCTGCATTAGATCGCTCTGAGACAGTGTTCTAAATATATAAATGGGTCTCTCTGTAATAAAGGGTAACACCAGAAACAATTTCAATAATGACCATGCACAATACATATCACCTCAACACCTGTACACAAAACAGGTGTTTCAGGGTCATGTGGACATCTAAACTTCAAAGTCAAAGTTTGAATTCTAGACTGAAGACATTCAGTTATTTATCATGGTAAAAGTAAATGATTCAGGTGAAAATGTATGCCATCTTGCCTATAATTTGGAATAATTGGAAGCCTGCAGGGGTAGCAGCCAAAAAACATACAATGGATCTTAAGGACCAAATACTTACAGTCACAGTTGAGGTGGGGCAAGCTGACATTCAGGCTAACATCTATTTTTCCTCCACTCTCCTTATCAGGATCATCTACATATAGTTCATTAACACTGGAAGACAGCACATGAAATAACAGATTAGGCGACAGTACCAAGTTTAGCAGGCAAAGGATAACTTCTGTTGGCAAGAACTCTGCAGAAGAGTTTGTTTTGTCTTCATCAGTAAAAATTTTAATATTTCGCATTGCATGCATTCAAATGACATATGCCTACTTAAAACATAAATGTGTGGGCTGCTCGTCTGGAAACCTATGTCTTGGATTTAAATAGGCTAGCCACAATCCTAAAACATTATCCTGAAGTGGAATTGGTCACTGAATAGGCACTGGCTGGGGCCACTGAAGAATTTGGTGTAGTTGGGCACGATCTTCATCAATAAGTATGTAGCCAGAACGAAGTAACTGGCACAGCCTAATAAATATGCCAATTTATCTGATGTTGAGGATATAGTGTTGCAACAGGTTAGGTCTCCTAGAAACCAACAGAAGAATTGCTTAAGTGACAAAACCTAAGTGTACTGCAAAGTCCAAAGAGGTGGCGGTGATAAGGAATGCTAATTCACCAACACTGTGAATACTGAGCAGAATGTGGTCTTACATCTTACAGGGTAGGAATATTGCAGACTGGACAGACAGAATTCTGGTGAGAAATATCCATGATATACACTAGCACAAAATGACAACGTTTAACAGTAGAAGGTCGTCAAAAATGGTTTTAGGAAATCAGAAGATAAACATCAAAACCTTGGACCTCCAAAGTAGCATGTTTGGAAACAATACCAGTTTTTTTTTGTCCACTATGAACTTTATATGGCAAGGACAAGCTGTATTCATAAGGAAGGTGCAGATGTCCTTGGGCAAAGAATGATTAGAGGGTATGAGGAGATTCTAGCCTAGAATCTTTGGACGGAAAAAGTGTCCAAGATAGTGAATGTTGGGATTTAAAAATAAAATGTGCCAGTGAAATTGCAAATGTAATTCAAAATATAATTCAAAAAGTGACCCTGTCACCAAAGTTCAATTGTAAACGAAGCCAACCCCATAAAAGAAGATCACGTACATTACTGCGTGAGGTGGTAGTGACACAAAAAAGGAGAAAGGACTGAGTGGGTGCCATGAGTTGTAGGAAAATCATTCTTAAAAGTTACTAAAACGCATTACTGAAATCATTTGGATTCAAAGAACTGCCCCAGCTGCATTTGAGAAGAAAAGTAGGTTTTTTCAAGCTGGTATATGGACAGCAGCTGGAGACTGCTCTGTCTTTCTGGTCTTGTACTGGACAGGAAGTTCAGGGAAGCCAAGCTGATGGAATTGGAGCTGCCCAGAAACATGACGACTAAGTGCTTGGACAAAAATGTAAAGAAATACTTTGCTGGGCAATGTACAGTATATTTCATTGCTCTGGATTCATTATTGAAAGAAAAAAAGTTTTAAAGAAGTATTAAGCTCTCAATGTGGTCAATCCCTAATCACTTTAGCTCTGCAGAGCTTTATGTCCTTCAGGCTCAAATGTGACTGAATTCAACCAACTGTACATGCAGGGGCGTAACTAGAAATCACAGGGCCCCATAGCAAATTTTTGTATGGGGCCCTGTGATTTCTAGTTAAGCCCACCTGAGATCCCACACAGCCCACCTGAGGGTGAACCCTGCAGAGCCCACCATATAGTCTCTATGGTGGGCTCTGCAGGGACTCAGGTGGGCGGTCAAGCCCTCTTACCCGTCTGCTCCGATCCTCTGTCTGCCTCCTTCTCCTTCAAGATCACTTGCAGGCCCTGCCTCCTCCATGATGGAGGAGACGGGCCCCAGTGATGGAGGAGGCTGGGCCCGCCTCCCCCATCGCTAAGCCCTGCTTACTCGATCAATGGGCCCCACCTCCTCCATCGCTGCCGACGACGGGCCCAGCCACCTCCTCCGAAGCTGCTGGTTGTCACCGACTCAGCAGCGGCTGTGAGGAACGCGCCGCTGCACATGTGAATAGCGGCACCCAGGCGGCCCGAACGGCATCAGGGGGATGTGCTGGCTGGACCTCCCTATGCCCCGGGCCATATAGCGGCCGCCTGGGTCGCTATGGCGATTGTTGCGCCACTGTGTACATGGATACTCGGTCTTATTTTTGTATATAGAGCTATGGAAGCTCACTGCCCATGTTCTGTTTTGACCCATTTAATATATTTCAAAATGATGTGCATAGTCTGCACTAAAATATGGCATCTTTCAAATATTTAAAAGACATTAAAAGCATAACCAAGGCTTTATACATGGAGGCCACACAAGGTACCTCCCAGACCCATAAAGCTGAACTTAAGGATAAAATACAAGAGGCATATCCATTATTCTTTAAATCTTGGTGTGCTTTGTGCATTTCTTCCAGATCAGTGCAGTAACCCAGTGTGAAGCTTATAGGAGCTTCCTGTAATAAAGACCAGATGCTGCTGTTCTCTCTCTCTACGTGAAGAGTGACTGATCTGGTATCTGCCCCTTCCTGTACTTTTCTGCATGCAGCCTGGAGAGGGTGGACCTGCTGGGTCCCTCCCATAGCTCTTCTCCCTAAACAGGCTATGTGCAGCACAGTGATGATGTCATTGCTAGTTTTATAAAGTAATAACTGGGCTTGCAAAGGCATATTGTGCAAATAAATTGGATTTATATCCTGATTGTTGCGGCATATTTTTAAATGAAAGTTTTTGTGCCCAGAGCTCAGCTTAAGGCTGGGTTCACACCTAGGCGTATTGAATATGCGCGTTTGTCGCGCGTTTTTACTGCAATTCGCGGTAAAAAAAACACGCGACAAACGCCCGTTTCCGAGGGCTTGTATCCCAATGGAAACGCGAGACCAAAACGCCCCAAAGAAGTACATGTACTTCTTTGGGCGTAGCCCGATTTGTATCGCGTTCGGACGGACGGAGATACGGCAAAGGTGTGAACCAGACCCATTGAATACAATGGGATTTAGATGTTTGAGCGTTTTGTAGAGCGTTCGTCGAGCGTTGAACGCGCTACAAAACGTTCAGGTGTGAACCAGGCCTTAATAAGTGAGGGTTCCTGGGTAAACTACACAATAAAAACAAAATCATAAAATAACAGGAGGAGGAAAATAAGTAATGTTTACTACGCTTTTATATATCAAACCGCAAGAGACAAAAAAAGGACTAGGTAGATATATTTTAAAAATACACATAATAGCAATATGGACATGCAACCCTCAGACCCCCAACTATAAGAAGTCTGATGGATAATGTTAAACAGCTCTGGGGTTGTAGCTGAATTCCCAACTGCTCTGTATTCTCCATCACTATAAAGCTTTAGTGAAAGTCATTAAAAAGGAAACCGGTACTGAGAAAAATAGAGGCTGCCATTACAGACATCTCCTTCTGAAAATGCTAGGCCCTAGGTGGTCAATGCGGATTTATACCTGTGATGCAATCTTGAGTCAGTAACATGGAAGTAGGCAAATAAGGGGGTCCGACTTTGCCACATTTCACTGTTTGAATGCCTGTCCCAGGTTGGCAATTCAGAAAAAAAAAAAAAAATCCAACAACTTCGCAAAATGCGTGTTGATCCTCCCAAAAATTCAGTGATTGCCTCGCTTCCTGTAGCTGACAATGTTGCCTTTACTGCATTGAAATCCCAGTGTTTTCTGCTCTACTGAACTACAGAACCCTGGCCCACACCCCATTATGTTATGGAGTATAGTAGAGCTGCTTTAGATTTCTGTGCAGAAGAGGCTCCATGTCAGCTCAAAACAGAAACTTAGCAGCTCACTGGATTTCTGGCAAATAGTTATATTTCTGTATTTGCAGCATATTTATTGCAGAGATGTACAGCATATGTTTTTATGTTCCCCAGGCAAACTTTAAAGAGAACCTGTTACACCTCAAACTAAAGTCAGGGAATCTGTATTATAAGTACTGAAACCCTGGCTGCTTCAGCGATTTGTCCCCAATCAGCAGAGATATTAGAATTGAATTGTAATTCTACAGCAAAAATTGACACTTTCCTGGTCCATCCACAGTGCAATCCCCTGCTCAACCCCTACATCAGCACAGAAGTTCAACAGCATGAAGAACAACTCTTATATGATCACTAAAAAAATCTGCTACATAGTAAGCCCACTGTCGGAGCTTACTATGCAGTGGTTTTTAGTGTAATCGTATGAAAGCTTAGGCAGAACCAGGAGGTGATATGGTCTCTATGCCAAAGACAGCAAGGTCAGGTTTAGAACAGCAGCCTACATAAGGGGTTTCCTTTAACTTCAGTAGGTATCCAAAGTCAAGTATCTTCAAGTCCTCCAAATCAGGGCCATATTAAGATCGCATGCACTATTTGAAGCAAAATGTGGTCTACTTTATATGCACGGCTTCTTTTCAAATGTATAGACCACCAAACAATAGAAAGCAGTGATGGTTTCAAGTTACTGAACTGTAAAGACTGCCTTCGGAATTCTCTCAACATCCCATGTATCCCCCTTATCCTACAGTTCTCTAGCTAAAATCATCCACAAATGCTCTGACCAGAAAAGTGAAACATAAGCAAAAAGTTATAACGAATTGTGACTTTTGAGGCTTGATGCTGATCCATCTAAACTGCTGCCCTAGGCACTGATCCGTGAATGCTATTATGGTAAAATAGCCCCATTTTCTACAGCTTCTGTTTAATCAAAAAACAGCTTCTAACTGTGGACTCAGCAGGGCTAATTCTAAAGTTGGCCATACACTGGTAGAATTTAGTCTGAAAATTTTTTTTTGCAACATGACCATGACACACAATTCTATCTGCACATTCTGTAATGCAAGTTATACAATTAAAGAATTTGATTCTCTACTACAGTTATCACAAGTGCATTACGAATGATGTTTTTATACATTGTGACTATTTTACTTCAAGGCTAGTTATCAGCAGGTGTATGATAACCACCATGTGTGTATTTGAACTTTGTGAATACATGCAGGGAACAAATTACACAGTACAGACAATACAATAATGTGACATCCAGTTGACATTTATGAAACCTGTTAACTACATTTGCACTGACACGATATGTTAAATGTCA